CATTGACCCATGTTTGCGGTGTCAGAGGCACTAGCATCATCGGAGTATTGGGCTACGGTTCTGGAGCTGTGCCAGGGCAGCTTGAACGACATCCGCAGCACAATGACGCCTTCGTTCTTCGTGAAAGCCTTTGACGCCGCATCTTCCGCTCTACAGACGCTGGAGAAACTTTGCATCGCGCATCGCGATGTTGCGTCGAGCAATTTCTTCATCAAAGGCCAGCGCAGGTGCTGCTGGGGGATTTTGAATGTGCCACTTTCCTGACATCGCGCAGTACCACCACCCAAGAGGTGGCTGGTACGCCCGCCTATTGGTCTGCCGAATGTTGGAGCGCTTTGATGAAGCAAGCACCTCACACACCCAGACTCTCTGATGTTTATGCCTTGGGACAGACCTTCACTGAGCTTTCTGAAGCCATCGGCGTAAGAAGATGGCGAAACTTTGACAAACTTCGGAAGGCCCTGCGCCCCCTAACATTGCCAGAGCCAGTGCGCGGCTCAATTTGTGTTGCGCAAGAGAGAATCAAGAAACTTGCACCTTGGGTGCCCATCCGCCCGTGGAGGTGACACGGCCTTACGGACAGGTGGAAGCATCGCAGCTTCGATTTCAACCCTTGTCATCATAGCACTGTCGCAGCAGCGAGAAAGTTCTGTGCTGGTGCCGGAGCGCATGCTTCGGAAGCCTTTTCCCATGCAGACCTTCTTTCCCCACCCAATCCCCGCTGCCTCCAAGAGACCGCGCCGCGTAGTATTTCTACAAGCCTCTTTTGTGGGAATGTAGGCTTGGCCGGGGCTTCGGGAGGGTTTTCTAGGAGGGCGTTGATGGTGATTTTCTGGGTGAGATATAGTTGACCTCTAGACCAACAGCTAGTACTCTAAATAAACCCGTAAAACCCCAAAGCCCTAAAGCTAAAGCCTGCATTAAATTGGTGCCATCTCATACTAGTACTCTAATGAAACCGCGTCCCTCACAGCCCTAAACCTAAAGCGTACACTCCCAACATCGACCCCAAGCCTCAGGATTGACTCCTGAGACCTGAGTCTTCAGCCCTCAGTTTAGGGTTCAGGGTTTAGGGTACTAACCCTAAATCCTAAAACCCTTGAAAGCGTAAGCCTTGAGAGAACATCGCCTTCCAAGCCAAAAGTCTTGAACCCCAAGCCACAAAAACAAAAAAATCAACCCCACAGTCCTGAAAAGCGCAAACCCCAACTCCCGCTGTAAACCCTCGACTAAACTCTTATCCTTAAGCCGCAAACCCCTTAACCCTTAAAACCTTGTCCTTATAAAACCCTAACCCCTGAACCCTGAACCCCTAGACACCTGAATCCGAAACCATGAAACCTCTCTTTCCGAGGTCCGGGAAGCTCAGGGTTAAGCCACGTGGACCCGCAGAAGGGTACGGCCCTGAAGGTGCGACGCCCCCCCCGTAAACCCAAAACCCTTAACCCCTGAAGCCCTAAAACCCGAAAACCCTAAACCCTAAACCGCTCTCTGCCTTTTTTTTAGATCCGAGTGTCAGTTTTCTCGGGGAGTTTTACTTGGTTCGTGGTGGCACTTTGGGGGGCGTAGGGTTTTACAGGTTTTTGCCGGGGATGTGTGAACATTTGGGGGTTGCTTAAAGCCTGGATCCTAAACCCTTCTAGCTCATTGATGTGCAGGGTGGGGGCTCAGGTGACAGGCTGGTTCAGAAATCCAAATTCGAAAGAAGGGGTCTTAACTACCTATACAGGGCGATACTTACCCATACCATCGCCTCGCTATAGAAACCCTACTTTCTGCTATATGGGTACTTAGGTCCCTTTGGGAACTTGTTCAAGCTTCTCATTCAAATGTGAACGCATGGAGCGAAGCTCTGGTGTGCTGTAATGTTGGGACTCACGAATTCGAATGGCGTATATTTTATGATCTTGTATATACTAAGACCATCATGATGACGAGAGCTGAGGACATGTATGGCTAATCATAGAGGCCACCAGATCATGTTCAAAAACTAAGGTTTTGCGCCCAAGATTCAGGGCTCGGGGCTTGTGTTGGGTTCGGGCCCGGGGCTCTTAGTTCGGGCCTTGCGTCCCCCTGTCACAGCACACATGGGTTTAGGGTTTAGGGCCTTATCGTTTCTTTCAAAGGTGTGGGTTGAGGGCTTAGGTGGGGTTTGAGATTTTAGTTTGAGGGTTTTCTCAGTGTCTTTTGTATGGGCTGTTCAAAAGGCTGGAAGCCGATTCGGAGAGCCGGTAGAAACGCTGCAGATCAGTTACACCATCCCATGGAGATTATACCCATTCGTATGTTTCTTACACCCATCCCCACTGCAACGACAGAGAAGTCGATCTGCGAAGCAAACCTGGAAGGACGTTTCGGAAAGAACCGGCGAACAGCTCTGACGAAGAACCAAGCCTGTTCTTCACTGCTGTGCTTCAATGCAGAGTCTCATGCAGCATGTGCCATGATTGTCAAGGCCTTACTTAGTGTGGCAACGAGTTGTGTAAAAATCGCACGTTACCACTTCATGACCCGCATTCCTTCCATTAAACATGAACATCTACTTCCGGACGACGTACCTGGAGATAAGAGGAGGGACCGCGTTCTGAACACTTGGCACCATGCCGTGACTGTAATCGGAGGCCGTTCCGTTTAGCAAAGATAGGGCGTGGGCCAGCCGTGTGCCGCATCCTGTGGCGCGATGTCGCGCGGAGGCTGGTCGGAGCTTGGGGCTTGGGGTCCAGAGTTTAGGGACTAGCAATAGTAATAAGAAGAACAATATCAATCGTAACAATAGTTAATAGTCATATCAGCAAGATGAAGAATCAGACTAATCAGGAATCATATATTGGCTATATTGGTCATTGTGTTTGCGGAAGGCCTCAGCGGTTAAAACTGGTCACAGTGATTGTGTTTTGCGTTCAGCTTGCGGGGCGGTCATCTGTTATCCCTAGCCCTAAACCTAAACCCAAATCGGATTATGCTTGAGCCTACTCCCCAGCTGTCGATGCTTTCTATGACATCACCAGCAACGAAAGCCAAGTGCTTAGCACCAAGCGGTGACGGGTGTAACCCAAACCATTCTGAAGTATTGTATCCTTAACGTGCCGTCATGCAGATCAAATAGTTGATCACCAAAAGTAGGAGTCATAATGAGAATCTAATATGTATATATATATGTATATATATATATATATATATATATTTATTTATTTATTTATTTATATATATATATATATGTATAGTAAAATATAACGGCAAGACCAGCAGTGACATGATGTGACCTGAGCTTCCTGACGCGCTGAGGGTAGTCGTTACAGTCTGAGCCGTACTTCTTCGTGGTTGTATTCGTGGAAAATCCACTGCAGCATCCTGAAATGGTAGATTCAGTTTAGGTTTCAGGTTGTGGTTGTCAGTGGTTGTTCTTGCTGTCATGCTCTCATTGGGGTACCCGCATGAAGTGGTGGGGAGGGTGGGGATTGGTTGTGTGACAGCGTTGATGATGTTGTCGTCCTGTGTTCACTGTTGTCGAGTCGACGCACCGCAGATGGAAGAAAACAAGACCTAACAGAGTCCTGAAGCCTTGAACTCTGAACTCTGTAAATCCCACACTTCTTAGGGCCCCTAAACCCTAGTTAAGCCCTAAACCCTCCCTGAACCTTCAACCCAACATGCACAGCCTCAATCCGAAGCCCTATGAACTCTGGGCCTTGCGTGGTAAGGCCTTAAACCCGCCAAACCGGGAAGCGAGACCGAATCTAGACTCAAAAGGTTATGCACATGCTAACATATATACATATGTAATATGTATATATATATATATGTATATACATATATGTGTATATATATATATACATATATATATATATATATATAGATATAGATATAGATATAGATATCTTATCCCCAGAGGAGTTTTCGACATCGGGCCGTTTTCTCCTGGGGCGCTGCCGCCGGCGAAACGCACGGGTCCATGTTGCTTCAGCAGCTCGCAGTTCTCGCTACCACTACTGTGACGGTTTAGGGTTTAGGGTTCAGGGACTACTATGCTCATGATCAGCATTATTACGACGACCATTGTATTCGTTGCTGCTTGCAAGCACCTCAGTGCTACAGTTATTTCGCCCATCTATTGCAAATGATCTGAGTCTTGTTGCCAGGCTGATGATGGAAATGACTATGTTTCTCAGTCGTGGTGATCATTGGCTCGGTATCTATAGCCTCGGTATGTCAGTATCGGTATCTATAATTAGCCTCGGTATGTCAGTATGAGCCGCAGTGACCGTCCATTCCTAGACCCTAGACCCCTAAAGCCCAAAACCCTAATACGTGAGAAGTCACAACAACTCTGTTCACCTCGACTCACACTCGACCCCCACGACCTAAAAGCCTATACTACCCTCAAAGAAACCTTAAGAGAATCTTGCATGTTCCTAGCCCTGAGTGGAGCCCATTTCATGGAACCCTAGGGTAGCCTTATAGACACCTCAACGGAACCCTAGTATAGAACCCCGTTTTGAGAACCCCGAGTCTCGGCAAACGCCAAACGTCAGCTTAAAATGTGTCTGCGATGTCTTAGCCATCAAGCCATGAACTCGAGTATCTCATCGATCCACGGAGCTTCAAGCGCGATCAACATCCATGTATAGTTCTGCTGTTGATATTCAGTTTAATTATATGATCATAAGTTGGTTTGCGTTTTATATATGTATATATATATATAGATACACATATATACATATGTATATATATATGTGTATGAATTATTCCTTGAGGGTCGAGACGCAAGAAGAGCTGAAGCGGATGCTAAGAAAAGCAGTCCACTCAGGTGCCCGATTCGATGACGACAGGCCGAGTTTGGCAAGCCTTCATTATGCGCAGAGTTTAGGGGTTAGAGTTTATGGAACTTGTGAAGAACTCAGTCGTGCCTTCATGCTACAATCTTCGTGATATTTTTGGCTGTTGCCCAACCCGAAACCGCAGTATCTGTGGCTCCAGGGGTAGACCGCAGCTTGCTGGTCATGGCGGGTGACATACCAGAGCCTCCCGAGGCCAAGGGACATCACCGTGCTGCCTTGCCTACCATCCCCTACCCTGCCACTTAGATAGCCAATAGGAGAACTTTAAACTTTTTTGGCCTTATCTATTAGGTCTATCCTAAAAAGTTTGAACTATTTTAGGCCTGGTTGTTGAAGAAGAGAGGCCAGGGTGCAGCACGTCATCCGGCGGGTACTGCAGGCGGCGTCTTCCGTGGAAGGGGCCGAGGTCCGTGCTTTCGGCTCCTCTGTGAACGGCTTCGGTGACAGCGCCTCTGATGTGGATGTGGTGCTCTCTGCGAACAAGGCTTGTTTTGCAGAGGGCTTGGGCCTTGGGAGGGTCAGCAAGAAGGACCTGGAGCCGAGGGTCCTCGGGAAGCTACGTCAGGAGCTACGAAAGCGAGGCTTTAGCATCATCCTCTTTATCCCGCAAGCCAAAGTGCCCATCATCAAGTTCCTGGACCCTCAAGAACCTACCGTTTTAGGGCTCCCTCTTATGATTTCTTTATATAAGTCCTTAAAAAGGTAGGTTATTTGGGGTTAAGGTTGAGCTTGCAGCATGCCGGAGACTGCATTGACTGTGACCTTTCTGTCAACAACTTGCTGCCAGTCTTCAACACCAAGCGCCCCAGCATCCAACTTGGAAGCGATTTGTCTTTTGAGTTGGGGGTTCTGGGTCGTAGACACTAAACCATACGAATGAACCCCTATGCAATTAAGTTTTCTCCCAGAGGAAGTCAGCGCAAGCCCAACATCAGACCCAGTTTGTCTCATTGCTATGTCTAACACTCTGTCTAAACCCTCAATTCCACAAACTTCTATACCGTCAACTGTCAAACTCCCAAAGCTTAAAATTCAAACCCATGTCAAACCCTAAAAAGACTTTAAGCCCCGAGCCCGATCAAGGTTTCAAGCCTTAGAAGCCATGATCCCCCAAACTCCATTAAAAAAAACTAGGTTCCTGAGTTAGTGGTAAGATACCTATAGTCTCCATTGTAGTTCCTTTTTTTGGTTTGGCCAGTTAAATATTTAGGATCCTATATAAGGCACCCCCAAAAAGGAACTACAATGGAGACTATAGGTAGTACCCGGTGAGTACCTCTCCACAGTTTCTTTAGGTTATTGTAGAACATGCCCTGAGACCCTTCTCGACTTACTTGGCCCTAGGAAAACTCAAGAAAACCATATAGCGCCCTTCTCAGGAACAATGTAAGGGAACCCTCATGAGGCCCGTGCACCCTGAACCCTGCAGCCTAAACTAACGGTGCAAAGGACCTAATAATAAGGTTCTTTGGTTGCAGATGGTAGTTATCTAGGTTAATATTCGGGAGAGTATATGATTATTGGGTACTTGGACCCTTAGGGTAACCTCTAAACCCCAACACTCTAAACCGACTGAAAAAGGAGCCCCCGCCTCTCAAAAAATAAAGCACCCCAGTTATGATAGGACGCCCCCTTAGGGGGGACCCTGATGACAGAACCCTGTGGCAGCCTTCAAGGGGGGACCCTATGACAAAACCCATTTTTTAGAGGGCACCCAATCCCCAATCCCCATTACTTCGGCTTCCCAAACCCTCAACCCTAAACCCTAATCCCTAAACCCTAAACCCTAAACCCCCAAACCCCGAACCCAAAACCCTAAACCCTAAACCCTAAACCCTAAACCCTAAACCCCTAAACTCCTAAACCCTAAACCCCTAAACCCCCCATTAGTTCGGCTCAGGCTCTTGAAATCCTACGCAGACCTGGACCTGCGTCTCGTGGAGCTGGTGCAAACCTGCAAGGAGCTGCGGCTCTTTGGGTTCAGGGTTTAGGGTTTGGAGGTTTGGGGGTTTGGAGGTTTAGGGTTTAGGGGTTCAGGGTTTTGGGGTTTGGAGGTTTGGGGATTTGGGGGTTTAGGGTTTGGAGGTTTGGGGTTCAGGGTTTAGGGGTTTGGAGGTTTAGGGTTTGGAGGGGTTTAGGGGTTTGGAGGTTTAGGGGTTTAGGGTTTAGGGGTTTAGGGTTGAGGTTTGGGGGTTGTGGGTTTGGAGGTTTAGGGTTTAGGGAATTGGAGGTTTGGTAGTTCAGGGTTCAGGGTTTGGGGGTTTTGGGTTCAGGGTTTAGGAGTTTGGAGGTTAAGGGTTTAGGGTTTCAGGGTTCAGGGTTTCGGGGTTTGGAGGTTTAGGTTTTAGGGAATTGGAGGTTTGGTAGTTCAGGGTTCAGGATTTGGGGTTTAGGGTTCAGGGTTGAGGGGTTTGGAGGTTTAGGGGTTTAGGGTTTAGGGGTTTAGGGTTGAGGTTTGGGGGTTGGGGGGGGGTTTAGAGGTTCAGGGTTTAGGGGTTTGGAGGTTTGGAGGTTTAGGGTTTGGAGGTTTGGTAGTTCAGTGTTTAGGAGTTTGGAGGTTTAGGGGTTTAGAGGTTGAGGGTTTAGGGTTTAGGGGTTGGGGGGTTTGGAGGTTTAGGGTTT